ATTTGCGGGACCATGACATTCCTGGGGGTAAAGTCACTACCCCGAAAAGTCGCTACCCCGAAAATCACTACCCCGAAAAGTCACTGCCCCGAAAAGTCATTACCAAGTCACTACCCCGAAAAGGGACTACCCCGAAAAAATTTGCATGTTTTTCATAGGAAATCTGAATCAAAACTGGATTTTTCCGGGAAAAACAATGCTGTCATTTTTCGGGGTAAACGATTTCGGGGTAGTGACTTTTTGGGGTAGTGACTTTTCGGGGTAGGGGCTTTCGGGGTAGTGACCGGACGCCACATTCCTGCCAGCGACACTTCCGCCAATTTGAGGTCAAAAACGTACAAAACCGTACAAAACCCTCCAAATTAAAGATTTTTTTGTTTTTGGCATTAGTAAATTCAAATAACATAAGTACACGCTAGTAGAGAAGAAATTACGATGCGGGAGGGTTGTTTTGGGCATCATACCGCGCTTTTTACCTTTTCCGGTGCAAAATCTGATTTGCAAGAAAAATCCATCATAAGTTTGTTATTTCTTCTGTAATAGCTAGATCCGGACGAAAGCAATTATTAAGACTACACGCATGAAACAGCGCCTTTTACAAGCATTTTGGCCGTTGGCAGAAATGCCGCTGGCGGAAATGTCATGGTCCCGGATACGCACTCTCGGTCGGAACCGCCATTTTCTTATACAGGGTGGCCAGAAAAAAAGTGCCTGGTTTGCGTCAAAATATCTCGCTGGGGGAAACGAATTGAACCATCGTTACCTTGTCAGAATGCTTAAATATGTTGGGTATGAAGAATAAACACAAGTTGTTTTTTATGATTTTTGACGACCCCCTGCTCGTTAAAAAGTTTTGAACATTTTTAAAGAGTAGAAAACTTAGAAGAGAAAAAGCATGGAACTTTTGATGAGTTAGTGGGACTTCAAGGGTATCAAAATGAAGCTCTTGCAAAGCGCTATCAGACTAGTGGTAAATAATTTCAGTCGGTTTAACTAGCCGTCAATATGAGCGTTCGGAAAAACGGCACTTTTTGAAGGAATAATTCCAGATAAAATTTCTTTACCATTCGATCTTTCTGATATTTTGCATTTAGCAGTAGATAGATAACTACTAAATTTTGGCATCAAGAATTTCAAAATCCCGATCAAAAAATTTTTTGGCACTTTGCCAAGTCGATGACCATTGTAACTTCTACGCTCTTATACTTAAAATTGTAGCATGGTTATCTTTGGCAAGCAGGATTGCATATAACAAGTACAAAAAGTAGTGGCGACAATGTGCTTTTTATGGTCAATTCGGAATCGCCTCTGCTCGACTTTTTGATACCCTTGAAGTCCCACTAACTCATCAAAAGTTCCATGCTTTTTCCCTTGAAGTTTTCTACCTTTTTAAAAATGGTCAAAACTTTTTAACGATTAGGGGGTCGTCAAAAATCATAAAAAGCAACTTGTGTTTATTCTTCATACCCAACATATTTAAGCATTCTGACAAGGTAACGATGGTTCAATTCGTTTCCCTCAGCGAGATATTTTGACGCAAACCAGGCACTTTTTTTTCTGGCCACCCTGTGCGATTTTTTTCCTCAAAACCCCTACCCCGATATTTTTAATGAACGAAGATTTCTATATATTCTTTCTTTTTCATCCTTTGTCTTTTTTTGTCGTATTGTGCAATCCATTGTTATAACATGCTTCAGATGACGCCTTCGGATGTTCTGGCTGGCCTGTTCCCCACATGTCCTGTCACCGACTGCGGCGTGGTGGTATAACTCTCGGTAGACACTTTTAGTAGCATTTCACTCTTTTCCTAGACTCCACCAGCAGATGATGTTGACCTGTACGCATCCCGTCTGCCAAGTATGCATGCTCAATGAGGAGTTCGTGAAGAAGAAGAAGTGCCCGCTTTGCCTGCAGAAATACAAGACATTCGTGCTGAACGCCGCTTTGCTCAGTATTCAACATTAATTAATTTTCGCCCGAATGGCTTCTTCTCTCCAAAAAAGTTCGCAGGGAAACTGTCGCCCCAGGAAACCGAGAAAAAAGGCCGACTCTTTTTCCTACAATATTTTGATAGTTCCCTCAGTTCCACTCAGCAGGGAGGCTCCTTATGACGAGTCGACTTCAAATTCCGCGACGGTTGGCGTCGGAAGCGGCCTATGTGGACTTAAAGTAAAATTTTCTGGGTAGATTTGTTTCCGCAGGTCGCATCTATGGGCTTAAGTTTATCTAGAAGGGATTCGTCTTGCAGGGAGATGAGATATCGGCGGCTACTCCCCGCTACAACTGACATAGCTATTGCGAGCCACGATATCTATTAGATTCATGACTTTATGTGACTATAAAAAACAAAAAACTGCATGATGAGATTCGATTAGCATTGTTGCGACATTTTGTGAAGTACGCCCTTTACAACTGACCAGCTCATCCACAGAAATTTCGCGGGGCGAACGTTTATCGCACCAACGGGCTCAGCATTACCCTCTTTTCTATTCATTTTCGCGTTCTATCTTTCAAGTAAATGCTCTCCTGAATGTTAATAGTCTCAAAATAACACGGCAAAATTTTAGATGTCGAGCGCCAGCGGAGATAACGGAGACAGTCCGCCGGAATTGATCCCGAAGAATAGCGATGATGAGAGGGGTCAGCTCACGGAAGAGGTACAGCTTTTAAAGGCCGTTTGCGGGTGGACCGAAATAGGCTTGGCACAGTTTTTTTCGACCCTGTTTTTTTGACGGCATCGGATAGAGCATAGTCGAATTAGTAGGGCTGCAAAGTTTTGAAAGTTTAAAAACTTAATTTTTAGTGTTTAAATGGGCCTCAAAGTTGCCGACCCCGAAAAACTATCTCGAAAGCTACTGCACCGAATTTGCTGAAAAATTGTGACAATACCTAATTTGGGATGGCGATCATTTCTCTAATACATCGCAAAGCGCTAAAATAACCGCAACATGGCTAAATCGAAAAGTAAAACCAGTTTTTTGAGATTTTCGAATTTTTAGTATTCCGAGCGCAACCTGAAACTAGCATAGAAAGATGCGCGAGACTTTTCTGCATCGATTGGTGTATCATTTAGCTTGCGCGACGAATACTATCATTGAGAAAAATCGCGATTTGTAGGCGAAAAACGCGGAAAAAATGTCCCATAAAAATACAAGTTTGTTAATTTTGTTAATCTGAGGTATCAAAGCGCATCTAGAAGCCAAGCTGACGCGATTGCAAAAAAGAGCAAAAAGAAATTCGGCTTCTAAGAGGGGGCCGGGATTGAACTAGCGGCGGCTCTGGATTGGTACGCCGACGCTCTACTCATTGCGCCACAGGGCTCCCAGGCGGAGGGTCCGGGTTCGATTCCGCGACTTCGAAAGAAAGGAAATTTCTTTTTGCTCTTTTTTGCAATCGCTTCAGCTTGGCTTCTAGATGCGTTTTGATACCTCAGATTAACAAAATTAACAAATTTGTATTTTTATGGGACATTTTTTCCGCGTTTTTCGCCTACAAATAGCGATTTTTCTCAATGTTAGTATTCGTCGCGCAAGCTAAATGATACACCAATCGATGCAGAAAAGTCTCGCGCATCTTTCTATGCTAGTTTCAGGTTGCGCTCGGAATACTAAAAATTCGAAAATCTCAAAAAACTGGTTTTACTTTTCGATTTAGCCATGTTGCGGTTATTTTAGCGCTTTGCGATGTATTAGAGAAATGATCGCCATCCCAAATTAGGTATTGTCACAATTTTTCAGCAAATTCGGTGCAGTAGCTTTCGAGATAGTTTTTCGGGGTCGGCAACTTTGAGGCCCATTTAAACACTAAAAATTAAGTTTTTAAACTTTCAAAACTTTGCAGCCCTACTAATTCGACTATGCTCTATCCGATGCCGTCAAAAAAACAGGGTCGAAAAAAACTGTGCCAAGCTATAATGGGGACTGTTCTAGTGATCCGCGGACGGCCTTTTAAAGAATTAGCCGAGAAAATATTTTATCAAAGAACTCTACTGATCAATTTTTTTTTCTAGGATCTGTTCCGGATGAAAGATTTGGCGACAGGCTCGGCGAATCCAGCGTCCGAACATGCCGATCCTTCAATCGTTTCGCTTGCCGATTCGAGCAGCAACTTCGATGAACATGTATTTTTCGGGCTTTCTATTATCATTTCGTCGTTTAGATCACTGACGAATATGACGACCTGGAAGAAGCGGGCACGGGTGGTCAAGAAAAGACCGAGCAGCAGCACCAGGTGACCATTTTTTATCGGGGTTTTTTACCGGAAATGTTCAGAGTCGTATATTTGGAGGCTTCATGTTCGAACGCAAACGTCCGTTGCACATTGAACTCCCTAGCACAGGTTAGCTTATCACCGTTTCAAGATATTCCGGATTTAGTTACTGTTTTGAAATTTCCCTTCGATTTTCCCGACTGCCCGCCTAACCAGAATCAGAAAGACTGGAATGCGGCATTTGAGGTAAATTGGGCCTTGTTGTCTGTGTAACCCTTTCAGGATGCGACGGTTTACTTGGTCGGAACTGCGCATTTCAGTAGAGATAGCCAGGAAGGTTAGTAATATTTTTACAGCTGTCGTGACGCGATACGTTTGAAAACACCTAACGTTTCCAGATGTGATTCGTACCATAAAAGCCGTACAGCCAGACCTGGTTATGGTAGAACTTTGCCCAAGCCGTATCACGATCCTCTCCCTGGACGAACAAACGCTGCTCCGGGAGGCCAAGGATCTGAATTCCAGCAAAATAATGCAGACCATCAAACAGGTTGGTTTTTGCCTTTAACAAAACGCGTATTTTCTTCAGTCCGGCCTGGTGCACGGAATTCTACACGTGCTTCTGCTCTCGATGTCGGCCCATATCACCCGTGAGCTGTCAATGGCGCCCGGAGGCGAATTTCGAGCTGCCCACAAGTCGGTCTTACCAATAATTTTGTTATTGATGTTCAGGGCATCGGTCGAAGTGGAGCAGTGTCGTCTTATCCTTGGTGACCGTCCAATTCAAATAACGCTACAACGCGCCCTCGCCTCGATGACATTCTTCCAAAAACTAAAGTAATTGTTTGTGGAGAAACCTTACTAATGCCTCGATTTCAGATTCTTCTACCACATCTTAATCTCGCACAACTCGAAAATTACTCAAGAGGACGTTGAAAAGTGCAAACAGAAGGATTTATTAGAGCAGCTGTTGGCAGAGGTGAGTACCCCCGAATTATTGCATGGAGGATAATTTAGATGGCCGGCGATTTTCCAAAGCTGTCCAAAATTTTTGTCGATGAGCGCGATGCGTACATGGCACATGCGCTTCACACGCTATTGCTCCGTCAGACCGAGTCAAAAAGGTAATTTACTTCATGTTTATAAGGATCGTCTTGGTTGTAGGGAGGCTTGGTCGCGAACAAATTGTGCCTGGCAACCACTGCGCGTTGTGGCTGTGGTCGGAATAGGACATATGCCGGGTATCGAGGCCAGGTACTGTTTCTTCCTGAAACATTCATTCTTGAATTACAGGTGGGGAGATGACATCAACATTCTACCGCTTGTTGAAATCCCGCCACAGCCATTGTCTTCACGCATCATCGGTAAGGCGTATATTTTTTGCTTTTAGTTGAGCCTCGGTAATAATCGTATTTAGGCGGAACCATCAGGCTGGCTTTCTGGGGAACTGTCGGCTACTGCACCTACCGCTTCGGACGCGCCATATATACCCGGATTAGCCCCAAATTTTAGAAGCTGTGACATCCTACGCTTTCCGGCTAAGTATGCATTTGTCATTCAATTATGATTAAATTGTGTCTCCCGTCAACAGGTTCCGCGTCTCGTAGCAAGGTAGTCTGCCTAGTCTGTGTTCCCCTGGCAAATCCGCCAACAAATTTTCCGTTGAAAAATTATTGTGATGGCAATGTTATTCTGTGCTATGCGAATAAAGGGTAATTTAAACACGAATTTCCGATTCGATCCGATGGTATCTGACTGACTAGAGAACTTTCTGTAATTTGTCCAGGTCGTTGATTAGTTGGGGGTTTAGAGATATGGTGGAACGTGGCGTATTAACCCGAGAGGAATGGGAGCGAGTCAGGTTCAGCACACCACAGCACCCAATGCGGATGCTACGAAGGCGCGAGTTGGGAGATATGCGGCCTGGTACGCGTTTAACTTCGATCGAAAAACACAGACTCTTTCACATGTTAGGCACCTCTGGACAATTGGCGAGTCGTGAGCTACTCCGCACACTGACACTTGATGAGGAGGTGCCTTATCTTTTCAGTTATTGCACGCTTTCAGTTTTTTGATCTTCGCGTACACGGCGATCCGATTGCTTGGTCCCCTTGCGGAAATTACGTTGTGTTGTTTCATCGAACATTGCGCATGCTGACTGTTCATCGCTACATGGGACTTGAACGCCTTTATGGCTGCGAGAAATCGATGCAATCTTTTGACGTATGCCGTTTTTCCACCTAAAATCCTCATTCCACAGAGGGTATTACCAGCGGTGGGACGTTGGAGAGCCGACAGCACCAATGCAATGACCAATGGGATGCTGGTCCGTAAATTTGTCCGCTTCACAGAGGACTCGGACTACTTCATTGTGATGCATTTCCAAGGCTTTCGCCCAGAGAACGTCCAGGTGGGCCCAAATTAGTTGGAAACGTCTTCTCAGCTTGACGAAAATAGCCGCAACTACATTGCCGAGGTCGCAACTAGTAATGAGGCGTTCGACCTGACTAGTGATCTCGCACAGATTCGGCTACTTTCCTTCAAACTTCCAGTGAGTCGAAAAATTGGATTTTCGGGTGTTCTTTGCCGGGCTTTTGGCCTAATATACTTTTTAGAAAGATCTGCCGGACATTCGCAGAGCACCTAATCAATTTCCGGTCGGAGGAGAGCCTCCCCATTACGTAACCGGTCAACTACCACCGAGGAACGACCCGCATGCCCCACCGGTTTGTAACTCTGCCAACAGCTTCACCATTTTTTAGCCATTAACCCCACAGGCCGAATTGTTCTTCCCGTTGGATAGGATACCAGAAAGCGGTGGAGTATCAATTCGTGGACGAATCCTGGCGATACTCTCATGGCAGCACCAGAGCATACATCTTTATAAAATCAACGCGGAAGGGAATTTCGAACCGCTGAAGTGGATTGGGTCGGTTGTTGAAGATGGTGAACCGGATTATTGGAGGTATAATTCTTAGGGTGTAATTCTATTAATTTTGTCTGTTTAGACAAGATCGCAAGCACATTCAATATGGCAGCTACATATCGGCCTTCAAACAAATGATTTTCACGTTCCTCTACACGCGTTGCCAAGTTGTTGTGCCGTTCCTTCCGCAACTGTACTCTTTTCAGGCATTAGCACCAACAAAGGCCTACTTATTCCTGAGCGACATCGAACGTTTGGAGAAAATGAGGATGGAGAGTCTCCATTTACTCGACACGAGCCGGCTTTTAATCCGTTTCTCGAATGGTATTTGTCGAATTTGTGCCTCGTACTATGTTTCAGAATGGCTTTACCGCCGCCAGGGCTCCGGGGATGAATTACGTCACTACACCGTGATTTTGGATTGGGAGCAACCACGAGTGCTCGGGGTAATCCTTGGACCGCGAGAAGTCTATTGCTTTTAGGTGTATGGAATGGATGAATTTTTGGACACAGATTTCTGCGAGTTTTATCGGCTTTTTTCTGAAGAGATCACGGTATGTTCACAACTTGACACCATTTCGGAGCAGCCCTTGCGCCCAGATCACCACTTTAATTTTTTTTCGCTTCTTCTAGTCGTCGGGATACACGTATAACCGATACCCGGTTTCCGCGTCGAAATGTGCGGTGGCCAGTCATGTGTTGTACAAAGGAATGTCCGAGTACATGTCATTGGTTAACGGTGCAATCGAGGGTGATGCCGAAGACTTGGACGCAGAACTACAAAATCAATTGCAACAAGGTAGGTCAAAAGAACAAGGCGACGAGGCTCTATCCCAGTAACGTGGACCATGTACGAAATCGTGGACCATAAATAAAATCGTGGACCATAAATAAAATCGTGGACCATAACCGGAATCGTGGACTTTAAAAAAAATCGGGGACCTTAAAAAAAATCGTGGACCGGTAGTCAGAATCGTGGACCCTTGGTGAAAATCGGGGACCATAGATTTGGCCGTGGGGGCAAAATTTGGCGGCGTTCAAAATCGTGGACCATAGAATTCCGTCCTTAGCTGAGTTATGGTCCACGATTCTGAACATCGGAAAAAAAGGCTAAATTGTTCAGAAAAACTGTGTTTCGCTTCCACCGAGCGGTCAATGTTTGTTTTTCACAATGGTTTGCTGGCTCAATACTCGGCTGGCCTCGGCTGCCAACGCTGGCTCGTGCGCCGCAGGCCAAATAATGGTTCATTGACTCTGGCTCTTGCGCCGCAGGCTTCAAACAAAGGAAAGAGAATTCATGGGTCCTAGACGGGGTCCAGTGGAAAAGGGCCGCGAAGCGGGCAACCCGTATTTAACGCCCCTTCACGCCCTTTCGCGCCCTCCTGTATTTCGCGCCCCCTGTAAATAACGCCCCCTGTATTTAACGCCCTTCTGTATTTAACGCCCTCCAAATGACCACGAAAAGGGCGTTATTTACAGGAAAAAGCTCGTTCTGCAGGGCGTTATTTACAGGAGAGCGTTAAATACATGGGGCGCGAAATACAGGGGGCGTTATTTACAGGAGGGCGTGAAGGGGCGCGAAAGGGCGTTAAATACGGGTTGCCCGCGAAGCGGACTTTTTCCACTGGTTACCTACATAATACCAATTTACACCATGCCGATTTTCAGAATGCGGATTTACAGAATGCCGATTTTGCGTCCTTTTGCCGAGTCATTTTTCATTGAATTTTTCTTTCGTCGAATCCTAGTTTTTCGTAATCGATTCCGGGGGGTTCTAACGAAGTTTCTAACCTTATTTTCTATACAAAAATCTTACAAAATTCCCATAAAAATAATCTCCCCTGGCAGGTAACGAAGACTGAATTTTTAACGACGGCTTCGAGGTTCTTGATTCAGGGTAATTCCCTAGCAAAATCCGGGTTTCGCTATTTCAAAAAGTATCGGGGGTGCGTCAATATTGAAAGCATAGGTTTTCCGGAAAAAATACCAAGGCCTAGGATTCATCGGGAGGATGGGATCTAAGGATCGACAGTGTGTGAAATCGGCATTATGAAAATCGGGATTATGAAAATCGGCATTCTGTAAAATCGGCATTATAATAGTCGGCATTCTAAACATCGGCATTATGTAGGTAATTCCTCTGCCAAATCTATGGTCGAACCCCCAACTAGTGATAAGCCCATTGCTACATTGTGAAATGCCGCAAAAAAATGGTGTGAAAAACAAACATTGGCCGCTCGGTGGAAGCGAAACACAGTTTTTCTGAACAATTTAGCCTTTTTTCCGATGTTCAGAATCGTGGACCATAACTCAGCTAAGGACGGAATTCTATGGTCCACGATTTTGAACGCCGCCAAATTTTGCCCCCACGGCCAAATCTATGGTCCCCGATTTTCACCAAGGGTCCACGATTCTGACTACCGGTCCACGATTTTTTTTAAGGTCCCCGATTTTTTTTAAAGTCCACGATTCCGGTTATGGTCCACGATTTTATTTATGGTCCACGATTTTATTTATGGTCCACGATTTCGTACATGGTCCACGTTACTGGGATAGAGCCGGCGACGAGCTTGATTCAGCACCGTATCTCGAATCGCTGCGTCGCCAGATCCTCGGTGTCCCATACAGTATGAACCAGCAACCGCAAATAAGGTAAGACCCCTAAGTAAGGCAAGGTATAGACCCCTCGGAAACCAACACGGCAATTTGATTCTCGGACTTTCAGCCCTTACTTCGACCCCTGTCTTTTCTACGTGAATGCCAACGAGCTGCACGGATTCCTCACTGCAAAGTTTGAGGGCCAGGCGGTCGAGTTGGTCTTTGCTTGCTACAGTTTCAAACGGGCTTTTGCTAGCACTGCATTGGGTGAATGTTTAGATGGCGTACGCGGGGCGACAGAGCGGGCTATTGTCTGATCCGACGCTTCCTCAACCGACCGCCAACTGCTGTTGTCTCCGAACCCAGCCATGCAGTCCTCTTCCATCCCAGTCAACCCTTCGCGTTATATTTGAACGCACAAACAAACATGCCACTGGTATGAATTCGATTCGTGGTAAATAACTCATTTTTAGGGGATGATCCTCCCTCATAACGCGCAGGTGGCCAAAGAGGAAGGAGCGTCCCGGCGGTATCAATGAGCGAATATGGTACAAATTCTTATGTATATCAATATATGAATCCCATCAAATGGTCATGATTGTACAAATATGTTATAAATAAGTCTATGGAGATGATATACTACGTGTAATACTGACGAATACAATATTTCCCCCGACTTGCCTTTTTCGCGGATTGCCATGGTTATTAACGCTGTATTATTCACACGAAGGCACACATTGGTGTATTACTTATTTTCTTGGCGCCATATATGTGTACAAATGTTTTCAGTTAATCTGCCTATATTTATAGTATTAATGACCAGTCTCCTCGCAGCTCCAGGCTTGCTTCGGCCGGCCCATTTCGTTTCTTGGTAAGCCTGTGTTTCTCCCAGTACTTGAGTTTAGCAGACGTCTAACTGATGCCACGAATCTCCCAATAGTCTATGATCATTTTAATGTAGGTCATCTTATCGCTTTTCATCGATCAGTTTGTTAAAAAAGGATGTCCAATACGCCCACGCAAAACAGGCGTCCCGGCTGCGTCTCGCAAAGATTTACCGGCTTCCGGTAATAATGTCTGTTTTTTATATACCTGCTTTAGTGCGTCGACTCCATTGTCCCAAGTTCATCATCGCCGAGGCTGAGCCCAGATACAAGCGTTGTTTGGCGGTTGATTATTAATTTCTAATTTAGCTTAAATGCTGATTTAGGATTCTCAGGTCTACATTCTTGGTACGAAACACGATTCGCCGGGCAGCTGTCAAGGTAATTTTGCCTTTTTTCCTCCCACTTTCCCAGATGTTAATATTGCGCTCAGAAGCTTGCGGCCTGACGTCGTCGTCTTAGAGCTTTGCCAAGATCGCTTTGAGGTGGTGAAGACATCTGTAGCCAAAAACGTGAGTTTGTCTTCTTTGTGAGTTGGTGTCCCGGTTATTGGCACCTGGAATGCAGCTGCTAATTCCTATGGCGCCCGCTGAGATTTTAATTAGGCCGGGGCGGCAGTTGCCCGGGTAACTATGAAAGGAGACCGTAGACCTCTTACCTGGTCACATTCCCATCATTTCGTTTTCGTTTGGGAAGTGGATTGTCCGATATTACCTTTTGTAGGGAAGTCGGAAGCGTCGGTGGAAGCTATTTGGTGATGCACCGGGTGAATTCGCAGCGGCGGTCAGGTAGATTAGGCTTGATTTGTTTTTGTTTATAGGGTCGAAGGTTCATTCTCCGTATCCATGACACTATCCACACAAGTGTTTTTAGATCTGCGAATGAACTGGGCAATGTTACGACGGTGCTTGGTGATCGACCTGCACAAACAACCATCGGGCGTATCTACTCGGTCGCGACGTTTCGGGAAGCATTAAGGTTTGGCGATTTTTTTGCGCCCAGACACGTGCTTTAGTTACTTGTGGCTGTCCGCAGCGTTCAAGCTGAAGTTTGGTAATGCGGCGCCCAACCCGGAGCTGTTCAAGCGGGTACGGCTTCTTAGAGCTACTCAAAATACTTTCAGTGGCAACAAGGACTTCCTCGGATTTGGAATGTCTGGGTGACGGAACGAGATGTGTATATGACGACTGTGCTCCAGGAAATGCTGCCTGGAATTGCGAAAAGCAAAAGGTGATTCCTGCCCTCTACAATTAAGCGGCTTTTCAACCCTGGTTATTTTCTATTCTTTCAGAGATGAGCATCGCCTGTATTCTGAACTGACGGAGGGCCCCATCATCGTCGCCATCACAGGCGCCGCACATCTCGAGGGGATTACAAAAAGGTAAAAATTGGTTCATGCAACAATTATTCGTTTAATCCGTTTATTCGATACGGTGGGGCCATTTACGGCAATTGATCAGGGGCGTTGGCGGCATTCTTCGGGATTCGGGGTCGGGTCGAGGGTAGAGCGAACGGAGAATGCGGGCTAGATGCTGGCGGTGACGGCGTTCGCTGGCTCCTAAATTAGGAAAATTAATATTGGAGCATTTGGGATGAGTATACCACAGTCTCAGCGGAAGAGCCCTCGACGCCGCGCGCAGTCTTCACATCAGCTTCCGGCAGCTGGCTGACGACCGCCTTCAAATCGGCCTCGGTGGCGACGATGGCGTCGGGCAGCGTGTCCGAACTGAGCGTGCGCTTCCTCGACTTGGGCGTCGCACCGTCATCTCCTATAAATATTAGTTATAGGTATGCTCTTGAAGCCTAACCAGGCGTGGCGGTGTTCAGGGGGGTCGTCGGCTGCGGGGCGGCCGTGTTGGTCTCGGAATGAGCGGCAGCGGCCGTGTTCACCGTCGACTCGGCGGGCCCTGGCAGCGCGGTGTTTGTCACGGAGAGGTTCGACTCGGCGCCGCGGGCAGTGTTGACGGCGGACGTGGTGCCATCAGCAGGCACGGCAGTCGTAGTGGTAGAGCCGGGACGAGCCGTGTTCACGATGTCCGTCGTCGTGTCGGCTGGGTTGGCGGTGCTGGTGTCGGAGATGGCCGTGGTCGCGGTGGGCTCGGCCTCCGGGACGAGGGCCGTCAGAGCGCTGATCGACTTCTGCGCTCCCGTCTGCACCGGGGTCGTCACTTCGCCACCCACGGCCGTTGTAGTCGAGTGCTAAACGAGTCGGTCGAGTCTGTCTGTTTTTTTTTCTTTTTCCGATGAAAGTAGACGGTCCTTACCGAAGAGCGCGTCGTCGTGATTTCGGCACACGTGTTGACGTTCGACTCCGGGGTGTCTCCATGGGTCGACGACTTGCTGACGGTCGGCTCGAGGCGCACGCTCTCCGTCCCATTGGCCGCCTTCGGGAGGTTGACATACGAGGACTGGATAGCAGTCTTCTCAGTCTTCTCCTGAAATTGAATATCATCAAAAGAAGCGAATTATCTGAGTCACCTGATCTGTGGCGGTGCGCCCGGTGGCAGGGGCCGGCTCGTTCGATCCGGTGGTTGTGTTTGTGTCTTCGGTGGTGCCAATGTTCTTCTCCTTCTTCGTGCCGAGCACATCAGCCGCGTCCTTCGAGTTGATCACTTGCGCGGCACGGTTATCGGGAGTGGCGGCCGTCGTGTCTTGCGCAGTCTTGGTCTGTTGCTGCTCCGTTGCAGCCTTGGTTTCAGTCTTCTTTGAGTTCTCATCAGCTGGGGCACCGTCAGCGGGTTTGCGGGTGAACCACCACCAGGCAGCAACGGCCACGCCACCAACCACAGCCAACTGCATTCTGGAAGAAGACAGCCTTGGAGAGGAGGAAAAGGCCGGACGAACCTGCCAATTGTCGGAGTAGAAATAAATGCTAACCAAGAAGGCAATTTTCTTTTTTAACCTGGAACATAGGCTAATCACTGTGAATTTCCCGGGTCATTGATCCCGTCATTCAAATTTAATTTGAAAATCGCTGATACAACTCGTAGTTTACAAAAAAAACACATGACGATTTAGATGGGACTCCCGGCAAACGATCAGCTCCGACATGAATACGATCCCGCCCCCCTCGATACAAGCACAGATTTTGCGTATGCTTACATTTTTCCCATATATTGTTTTTAGGAGTACTTTGGTGGACGGGAAAGAATGGCGCGCTGCTCAGCTTCTTTGCTGCTTCTTGTTACCTGATCGCCAAAGGATTCGATTCTTGAACTGCAATCGATTTCGATAAATATTTGTACTCTTTTCCGCGAAGAAATTTTCGAAAGGGTCGATTCCCATAGATATATCTCCAAGACTTGCCTTGTTGTATACACTGGAATTTTAGATGGGTAAGAAAGAAACGTGGGTCATCTCAGCTTCTGCTTTATTCCAGGTAATACCTTGGTTTCGTCGAGACTTTATTTTCAGAACTTCAAAAACTTTGCCTTGTGGTATGAAGTGGAGAGGAGTCGATTCCTGGGCATCCTATTCGGCTCGAACCACCGCGTAAGCCGTCCGCTGCCAACTAACACAATTCAGATTGACCTGTGCCTCTTCCTAGCCGATGTCCATCTGAAACAGAACCAGCTCGATTTTATCCTTAATTCCTTGCCGTCCGGTGAGCTTCATTCCATCAGAAATTAGTGTCATCAGATCTGCAAATTGTCGGCAAGCTCACCGTCGCCGACCATGAGCCCGACACGGATCTCACTTTTTTGGGGCAATTGCCGCTGGAGGTTCGTGTTTTTGGCGTTTCCGAACCCAACTGTGTTTAGATGCGGGTCAGCATTGAATGTCTGCAACACGGCCTTCCAGAACAACTTTTGAAGGCATACCCGAACGTCATTGACCAATGGACCCAGCCTTCAGGAGCTACGATCGTAGCCAATGTAAGGAGTAGATAATTGCAATACGTTTTTTTAGGTTGGCTTTGAGGCTATCCTGCGTCGGGGTACCGAGGACCATGATTTGAGAATGGCCGTCGACAAGTTCGCCGCGGCCACCGCAGAATTGATTTTTCATAACAAGTAAACGTGCTTTTTTTTGTTTAATTGGTTTCAGGGAGAGCGATATCGTGCTGCAGGCCAATACCAAGGTACCCAAAGTGCTCGATTCGTTGATCAAGGGGTTGCATACCGATGTGGTTTGTTATTTTTTGGAATTGCCGTAGCGTCGATCTTGTAGGATCGGGTCCGATTCATTTCGTATCGCCGTGTTTCTGCGCAAGATGAAGGCAATGGAGATGATCAAAAGCATGTGCCGGTGGCGAAATTGCAGATCGGTATTATTTTTAGCATCTATTTTTACGTGTTATGTGATTAGGCGACGTTCTGTTCGATCGGCTGAAGGTCCCGCTTTGGATCACTTCAGCGGTCTACGAAGGGGATACATCCAACGAGGTTATAAATGTTATCCCTTTTCAAGCCCTGACTTCAGATTTACCTGCGCATCGAGGAAGCCATGCGACGTCGTGTGCGTAACATATTGTACATGATGATGAAGGGTTACCGAAAAACGGTATAATTGGCCAATTAAAAAGATTCGGCTTTTAGTACGCGATGAAAGAGGTGGACTGTCGTTGCTTCGTGCCTCCCAACCATATGAGGGTCCTTTCCCTTGTCATGCCACGTCTCGCCGACAACGAGCAGCGTAAGGTTTATGATATTTTGCTGACAAGGAGCATTTTTTAGGCGATCTTGGAATTTTGCGATGTGAAATAGCTCATTCGATAGACCTTGAAGTCTGAACATCTTTCAAAAATTTCAAAATTTCAAAATTCGCTTTGGGAGGGCCACTTACCTTTTAGACCCCCACTTAACAAAATGCGAACGTTGAGAAACTGAATATCTCAGACGGTTATCATTCAGCAATTTTTGAAAGATGGGACTTGTTCAGAACTTCAAGCTCTCTCGAATGAGATATGTCACATTGCAAAATTCCAAGATACCTAAAAACCATTCCTTGAGCTTTTATTTCAGAGGAATGGCGTGTGGAGCTGCATAAGATGTTCAATCTTTCCTCAAGTCTCCCATGTCTGCGGTCCATGCAGTCGCTCAATTTCACTGCCAACTCTGGTTTCCTCCGAAATCCCCATCTAGCTATCAAGAATTGTGAGTTTCCGTCCAGACTTGTTGTTATGTGAATTTCAGACAAGCCCGCCGGGCGGATCTCTGCCGTCAAGGGTTCCTACGATTACTACCATTACAAGCAGCAGGGGATTGACGATAATGGATGGGGTTGTGCATACAGGTGTCTAGTGGATGTTGTTACTCTTCCCCCAATTGCGCAACTTGCCATCAGCTTCTCTTTTCAGAAGCCTGCAAACTATTTGGAGTTGGTATGTCCTGAATGGATTCTTTGACCGCCCAATTCCCCTCCATAAGGAGATTCAGGAGGTATATCCGAAATCATTTCTCTGACCCAGCATTTAGGCCCTCCTTCGCATTGAAGGGGAGACTATTCGCGGGCGAAAATTTGTTGGAAGCAAGCAGTGGATCGGATCCTTTGAGATTGGATATGTTTTGTCAGATGCGGTCGGAATCGATTGCTCTTATATCGGTGAGGGTCCCCTTTTTCGCTGCTAAAATTGATTATGTTCATTTTTGTTCCCCTATTCAATTACGAAGTTCAGCCCAATTCAACGATATTTCGGAGAAGGCGCGTGAGCTGCAGGTCCATTTCGACACCGTCGGATCGCCAGTGATGATCGGTAAGCTTCAGCTCCTTTTGCTGCACGACCAAATTGTAGGTGGTAACATGTTGGCCCACACGATTCTTGGCGTCGACTTTGACGACACCACTGGAGAATGCCGCTTCCTCGTGCTAGATCCTCACTATGTAGGCGTCGACGATGTGCATGTTGTGACGAACAAAGGTAAGCCGAGTGGGGAGGGAGTTCGCCAATTTTCAGTCTTACTATTAGTCTTTTTTGCACAATTTCTTTACCTTTTTAACTGCTTTCAGGCTGGTGCGCGTGGAAGTTCCCGTCGTTCTGGAAGAACGGGGTCGACGCCGGTGGCCAGCCAATCAACTACAACATTGTCAAGCCGCAGCTGCCGGCTAATATCATCTAAAGATAAATACACCCCGTCTCGGACAATTCCTACTTTCCATCCCCCTTCTCCGTTCTCTCTGTTCCTGTGATATTTCCTGCAACCGATCTTTTCGGTTTCATTTTGTGGATTTTCAGTGAACTTTTCGCATTTTAGTCACGTTGCTAGCATAAATTTTTTCTTATTCAGTTTGGATGAGTGCTTACTATGTTGACAATCTGCGTTTTAGAGCTTTGCATTGGAGAAGCAGACCACCGCCCGTTTTCAGGTTAGAACGTGGGCGCATCACAACGATCTGTGGAGCCTGGGCATCAGTCGGTGGCTTATCGGGGTGGGAAGCGGCGGAACCGTTTCGTGCCATTGATTCGGATGCCGAGACTGATGGCATCAATGTCTGCCGAGTTCGATTTCTTCTCGTTTGAATTGCTAATGGATTTATCTTTCACGGCCAATTCTAACATTTAAGGTGACCTTGTCTGTCATCTTAACTGTTTAACAAACCGTTAAAACTAGAGCTCTATCGAGGTTTATCGTCATTTCCTGATAGGTACAGGCAGGATCGCATTGATATCCTTTTGCACGTCTTTTTATGACCACGCATCCATGGCAGATGCCCATGTCCTTGAGATGCTATGCTTACCAGTTTCACCTTCTTAAACTTTGTAGGCGTATAAACTCGTTCAGAAAGCGGCAATTCAGGGGTAACGTAGAAAAATGTAGCGATCCATCTCCGTGAAATCCCTTCTTCTGCTTGAGGGCCAGTGTTCAGTTCCGTGTCCTATCTTTCACAACAACCTTTATCTCTGACTCAACCGCCATCTACGTAATCGAGCCGCTGACAATTGGCCTTTTGAGCGTGCCGATTTAGTGATTTAGAGTGCACCCTTTATATGGACTCTCCGGTCCAGTCCATTTTATCAAATTCAAATAACCCGAACCCTTTCGCGATCTAAGTGGCTCTTCTCCCCGTCCTCCTCCTCGTCCTCCACCCCTCGACCGCCACGCCAGGTCCCATGAAAACGGGAGTGGACTGTTGGTGAGAGACAGAATGGCCGGCCGAGCACCACCCACCCAGGCGCCACAATATCTCACCCATTTTGGGTGTCTTTTCCGCGCATTTTCCACAGCCTGCCGTGTCTGCTCTGTGTGTGCATTTGCGTGTTTGTCAATTCTTCCCCTCGTAGGCCACACTTCGGCTATTGACAAACTGTCACGAGTTATTTTATTGTTGCTATCCTCGTAGCCGTTTTGATTCCGGCTGTTCCGTTCGGAGACGTTCATTAAGCCGTTAAAGATTTCAAGCCTAGCACCTTTCGACGCTCTTCAGCTTTTTTGATGTCGTCGTGCTCGGCCTCGATCCCACTTGTTCCCCACCACGGCAAAACCGCGAACTGGGGTGGCCCTATTGCAGCCAAAATTCGATTGCCGTGGATGGCCCCCAGGGACGCGGCTTCAACTTCCGCTCAAAAACGCGCTTTGCGACGTGGCTCTGATAGCTTTTGGGCTTGTTTTGCTGCTGGCTTGCTTTTTTCTGCATAAATGGTGCCAATTCGACAATTTAGCCACTAGAACTGAACTGAACTCTGCAGCTATTGTTGCGGCTGCCTAGATTGTCAACCAAATCATTACTGGTCGCTCCGAACTATTTTTGGTGTTTGATATTAACACAACCGGAAAGCCGACATCACTCTCTCTCTCTCTCTCTCTCTCTCTCTCTCTCTGTTTTTGTCATCAACCCGCAGCGAGAGCTTTGCATCCTATCACCTATCCCCCTGTTTTCCACATTTCGACCTCTGCCCCATCGGTCAATCAATAAGGTCATTCCGGTTTTCAGACGAATTTTCTTCACGCTACTTCGGACGATACTTTCCTGTTGACGGCCGATGCGACCGGGCAACGTGGGTGGGTCGGATACAGCCGGCAGTGTCATGTTTTGATCTCTCATTTTGTCACATTCCCCCACCACTCTTGTTATGCAACTGCTGGGGGTAGAAACTAGAGAGGGCCGCCATGTTGGTTGCCTTGAATCCATCATCCCGTCCTTCCGCTCGATGTCTCTCTCTCTCTCTCTCTCTCTCTCTCTCTCTCTCTCTCTCTTGGTGCACCCTTGGAAATGCCGAAATGTACTCGGCCATTTTTCCGTGTGACGAAAAGATAACGGGCCTTGCCAAGATTGGGGTGCTAGACTGGAAATGGAAATTTGCGTGGTGCTTTCGCATTATCGGATCGAGTTTGGGTTTTTGTAATTTTTAGATAGTTTTTCGAGTGGTATTGGGGTCAAAGTTTACAATAACACCTAGTTTAATGGGGGCAAGAATAATAGTCAAAACTCACCCCTTCGATAATGCCAAAGTACCAAATTGAAGTTTTCGCTATAGCGGTAATGTTTACAGAGTCGTCTGAAGGTTCATCAGAAGAGCCTCCGACTGGTGATGGAGATGTGTGTCGCGTTTGTGGCCAAACGGGTGCCCAGATGCACTACGGAGCCGTTGCATGTGTTGGCTGCAAAGGGTATCTAAACCTTGGCGATGTCTTACGTTCGATTCAGATTTTTCCGGCGAGCCCTGAAGAAAATTGATCAACTGGAATGCCTGGGCAATGGGAATTGCCAGATAACTAAAGGTGGGCCTCGAGAAGCAAATAACTAACCTGGAATATCCCCATCAGATGCTCGCACAAATTGTCGAAGTTGCCGCCTACGCGCATGTCTGGCTGCCGGAATGAAGCCGGCTTCTGTCCGCCCCGATCGTGACTTCACCGGGAAACAGCGAAAAACGAAGAAGCCCCCTGCACGGGCAGAACCGGCGGTATGTTGTGGTACTCGAGAGATGAATGCCTGTTTAGACCACTGAACGCATACAGAATGGAGGCGACGAGTGGAATAGACGGCTTTCCGTCGAGATGCGGACCATGTTGATGACGCTGCTCAATCTTGAACTAAAGGCAGGGCGGGTTTTTTTAAAGAATCAAAATTTTTAGGTCTCACGTGGAGATACAAATCAAGAACTTGCCAATTTGTATCCCTTGAAAGCAAGGACGCTACGCGAATTGCTCGATGATCCCTCAATTTTGAATGGAAAACGATCAGAGGTTATTATTTTTGGTACTTCTTGCGTATACAAAATGACAGAAGGTTAGAAGAATTGGTATAAAGGTTAAAAAGTGGTACATCAATTAATTAAAAGAAAATAAACTCATAGATGCGATACGAAAGGGATCGTCTTTGTCGTAATGGCGAATTGTCGCCAATAGCTTTCCGCCGATTGATTGCGGCCATCGACTGGGTCGAATATCTTTCCGAAATGCTACCAGAACGCCCTTCGGTCGAGGATCGGGTATCATTAGCCAATTCCTATCCCATAGTTTCTATTTAGATAGCCCTTGTCAAAGGTTGCTTCCTTCCGCTATTGGTCTTCAAGGTATAGCGGGTTTCTTTTTGAAGTCTAATCAGGAAATTTAGGTGGCTGCTCGTACAGCACTGAACACACGTGAATCTGACGAGGTGCTATGCATGTGCAATTTCTCCTACATTCCGCGGGACGTCGGCAAGCTGTACAACGATTGCTAGTAGGTTAATGGTGGAATGAAGGTTCTATATAGGCCTTTAAAATGATATCTATTTGACATTAGTATCACAAAAATTGCAGCCACTGGAACAATGGGCTTGTGGATCGTGTGCTGGACGATCTCGTGCATCCATATCGAGTATGGGGTCTCCGTGAAGAGGGAGGTCGTCTGTCTGTCTGCTATTCTCGCGATAAACCCTCGTAAGAAGATATTGAATGGCCCGGCAGGAAATGATTTCAGTTTATAAAGATCTATCCGAGAAAACGTCCGATATGGTAATGGAGTTACGGAACAAGATCCAGGTAAGCTATTTGTTGAATAGCGACGTCAGGTTGTTAGGAATGTCTTTATGTTGTGATGCGGGAGACAAGACCTGGGCTTTCTGCTGTTCATTTTGGCAATCTACTCCTCACTCTTCCCACAGTTTCTGTATGTCTTTTTCTCCATTTTAAGCTTACAAGGCCTTTGCAACTTTTCCGATTCCAGACAATCGCCAATGAAATGTGCGAAAATCTGGTATTTGCACAGACGTTTTCCTCCGAGCCCTCGATCCCTTTGATGGGAAATCTATTCGGGTATTCACGCCGTTTGACGCGCGACTTTTTGGTTCAGATGTTTTCCGGTCGAGCCGTTCGAAGAAGAGGCGGCCACCGACCGTGTTCGTGCCCTGTCATTGTCCCATAAGGTCCACCGCGCGGTCCAAACAGATCATCCACTAGCCGTTCGGGTACGTTACTACTCCTCGCTTATTTTGTGTTATAGAAGCGGCGATTGCCCGAGACGACCGACTCGCCGGTGGAAGCTGAGCCGCGGAAAATGCCGTTTTCGTTGCGTGAGGCCCCAACCGACTACACGTTGGCCGAGATGTTTGACGATTTGGACGAGGTGACTTAGCGAATTGACTATACTGAAATATTCATTTTTAGGAAGTAGCGCCAAGCGGTTCCGAATCTAAAGAAGGCCGCCCTCGAGCTTCTTCTCAACCTGTATCTGATCCATGCCCCAGTTCAGCCCCTCCATGGACACTTCAGCCTGTCGCCTCTACCTCTCGGCTTCATGGACTCGACCCGAGGGTTCCACGAGATTCGATCCATCCTTCCCAAGCACAACAATTTACGTACAACGCTTATTACACCGTAGGTTTTCAACTGAGGAAGGAAATTTCGGATTGCCGGCGTGGGGGAAGTTCCCATGATGGTCAAATTTTTAGTTTTGCCTAAATAGATGAAGCGTTTATAAACTGTTTTTGCCATTTCTAAACGTAAAACCTTTATACGTCTTTATTAAAAATACAAAAAAAATATAGATTTCCGACCAAAATTCCAGATTTTTTTCCAAGTTTTGTAAATAGTTTTTGCATTTGAAACAGATATATACTTTTTCAAAATGCTATTAAAGTACTGGCATTGCTCCTTACAATCCAACTCCATTTTTCAGATGGCTCCCCAGATGCAACCGTTTCCGGCGCCAAGACGACCGCCCCTGCAGCCCCATTTCTCATATCCGGCGACCACCAGCAGTCGTCCCGCATAATAATCCTCCTCCAGATCCCCCCAAGATCCCCTTTCAAATCAGTACGAAGCGATACGTGTACACGAGAAGGCCAAAAGCTCTTTGCCAAAAGCCCTTCTCATCCTGTGATCCCCCGCATCGGTGCAGACATTCCCCCCTATAAAGCCTTTCAGTTTGGGGTTGGGCCAATAGCACAAGAAGTACTCGTCGCGTCGGGGCTATGGTTTTTAGCAATTACTTTCTCCGTAAGGAGAAACGTGTCTAAAGATCAAGCACAATATCGTTGAACTTGAATACTAAAAGGACAAAGAAACCAACCCCGTTTCCAGCCGGGGTTCAAAAGACCGGTTTTCCCGTGCTCAGCGTGGTGCGAAATGGTGTGCCCGACGAGCTTCCTGGTGCTCTCTCCCCTGTTAGGGGAAACGTGAACTTCTTGTCCGAGATGCTGCTCTTATCGGTGGAAGGAAGAGACTTGGGAAGTGAAGAAGGTGGCTTCTTCCAGACAACCGGATCCCGTCCCGAATTACCGTAGATAGACCTGGCTCGGTTCTTCTCAAGATTCCGTTTGGTTATTTGTGGGACAATGACAGTTGCGCAACGACCTTTGAGCAACTGGGGCTAAGCGACGTTTGAGCAACAATGATTTTTTAGTAAACGCGGGAAAACGGTGGTTGCTCAAACATCGTTTTTGCCCCAGTTGCTCAAATGTCGTTGCGCAACTGGCATGGTCCCTTATTTGTATAGTTCGCGGAGCAGACATATGAGGGTTGATGACGCTTTTACTAAAGAAACTTTTCTTATATGGCTTTAGTAGGGTTTTAAAAGGATGCAAGAAATATTAACCTTGATCGTAAGCCACCTAATATTCGCTAATTTGGGTAGTGGACGTTTTTATACGTTAAACTATAGACTACAAAGCGTATTGCGTAACGATACCCTTAGAGTCATACTTTGTAAGGCTAGCCGACCTTCCAAATTTGCTCGAAGGCTCGAACTATACACGTTTCTCTTGTGTCTTGTCTTGTGACTTTTGGCGAGACTTTCAGCTGTGCTGCGACGTTGAACTCCCCTGGCTTTCGGTAATACTGAGAAAATCAAGATGCCAATTACGACGAATGGCCGGGGCAGGCTGGGCCGTGCGAAGGGTTCTAGATAATTCCGAATGGAGCCACAGGGGATTGACGGGGCTTTGAGAAACGCCATTCCAGGCTTTAACAGGCAGGCACGGATAGCTTTTGGGCTACGGCAGGCTCCCTTGCACAAGGGGACAGCGCGCTCGCTACGTTTTTGTTCGAAAATGAACAAACTTTTGGACAAAACTAGATTTTTCTCGAAATGTAATAGAAAAATTAGAAACTCAATTAGATTTAAATATTCTAGACGCCAAGGCGCAGATTTTGAGACCTAACTATCGAAAATCTATTCTGGTACTTTTTTGTGATGGTCTTTTGAAGTTCAGTTCAGGATTTTGTGCGGTTTTAAATAGCGCAGAAACCAAGCATTGTCGCTAAAATCTGAGCCTAGATTTGGTAAAATCAAGGTCGATTACCCCACAGTGCGTGAAATCGACGCTTAAAATGGCTCCAAGTGACTGTTTTGCGAAAATGTACGCCAGTGGATCAACGGTCTCTTTTTGATCGGGTTAATTTTTCCCGATCCTTATTGTTTTAGCAGTTTTCAATGGCTTGAGCACAGTTTTTAAGCAAAACGCAAAAGCTTGGCAAAGGTTTTGGGGAGAAATAGCGGTTGCACGTTGGTCCCGGGGGTCGAACCCGGACCCTCTGTTTGAGATTTGGGATCGGCGCTAACCGATTGCGCCGCGGCCCCGGGGGGTCCTATCCGTGCCTCCATGGAATGCCGTGGGTATGGCCACACACGGTTGCTATGGACGGCCTCCTAATGAACGACAGGTAACAGAAGAAAGAAGTCTTTGCTTGGGAAGGAGAAGAAAAGGGAGATCAGTCATACATGGAGTCGTCTCTAATATTTATAAAAGTTCTGAGGATCTCCAGATTGTCGGAAACCCGTTTTTTTCGGGAGGCCAAAAACTTTTTCAAAACCTGATGCCAAAATCGTGAGTTTGCGTGTTAATTTAAAGCTTAAAAATGAAATTTGTTAGTATTCCCACGCTAGAGACTGAGGTTTTCTAGTGTGTACCTTTTTCAAAACGAATTTCTACCCAAAAACTACTAAATAAACTGTTAGTATTTCCCGCTACAACTTGGCGTTTTCAAGAGTGCGCATTTTTTAATCGAATTTCAACCCTCAAAAAAGTGATGCGTTCACGAAATTTGCCCGACTGCTCGTGCTCAATTGTGTGAGAAATCTCCCGCTAAATCCCCTGAGATACCGTAGTCATTTGCGTCAATGTCCGCCCCGCCCCCCGCCCGAAGCGCCGCCGACGAAAAATCGAATTCGTGGCGTTGAGCAGTTTTTGGGATTCGAATTTTCTACTTGTTTTTTGTAATAAATTAATTTCATGATTTAAACGGTGTCATTTTTCTAGGGTTTATTATATTTATTTCCTAGATGTCGTTCTCTCCTCGAACTCTCGGGTTATGCTTTGAAAACTGTGGTAGGGGATGAAATTGTCAAAAAGAGTCTCCTACAGCTAAGTATTCGCCAACGCTACGCTCCGAGTTCCAATTCACTGCTGAATATTGCATTCCAGTTCCCCTTTTGAAATTCCTTTGCGGCGTTTGATCCCCAGCAGTCAGTCTGGCGTCGATGAAATTCGCCGTGTGCCTCATAGATTCCATATTTGCACAGATTACGCGGATTGGGGCAGCTGGGCTGACCAGGACACATCCAGTGCTCTCGCCAGTTTGATCGGGGCTTCGACCCGCCGGATCCATCTCCCGGCTTTTAACGTCACCCCCCGCCCTCCGGTTCTCAAAAAGGAGGTTTTCGAAGTGGAGATTATGATTCGGGGGGATTGGCAGAGATTGGACTACACGAGGGCCCGGTGGGTCTCTGAGGTGGTCCAGTCTAATCCCCCCGTCTCTATGAAGCATCTCTATATATTCTCACCTGCCTTTCTGCGGGTCCATTCCGTCCAAAAGGTCCCAATTTGAGGGTCGTCCGACCCCCCGGCTAAACTGGATATTACGGCCCATTAACGGGGGGGGGGGGTCATGCTGGTGTAGGATTCTCTTGGCAGGCGGGGGCGGGCTAAAAGTAACTTTTGGAATTGGTCCCAGAGCTCGTTAAACAAAATTTAGCCTTGCCTTCATCTTGCCGTTAATTTTTGCAGGTGCTGGACTGTTAGCAGGGGGGAGGAGGGCTGGCGGGGAAAGCTAATTCTTCCAATCTGCTTATATTTAGATGTGATTAATTATATCGCGTTTTTTATTATTTATTTTTGGTTGGTAGGAAATTATCAAAAGTATTTAAAATTTGAAATTTTTGGCATTCTGGTTATTTTTTCATATTTTTTTGACCAAACAGCCATGATACTCGAAATTTTCTGATGTTTTTGCATCTAAAAATTGTGTGCAATGCTGTAAAAATAATTTCTATTTTATAGGACCGTACAATCTGAGGGCAAAAATAAGGACATCACCAACTAGACCCCCCTGATAACAGTCCAGTACCGGAAATCCCATGGGCTGTCTTTTGCGAGATGCGCAATTTTTTGACGTCATCATCATCATCAAATAACCGATAAAACGAAATTTTGAATACAATCCTCTATTTTCTATCCACGAAACCCTCGCCGATCGTTATCATATCAAGAGATCTGGCAAGAACCCATCGAGAGATCTTCCCTCCCCTTTACCCGTCAAAAACGGTTTGCCGAATGGCCCTGTTTGCCAGCCCTGCCTTTTCCTATTTTCTTGTTTTCCAATGGAGTCTAATTCGAAACTTAGCCTTCTAAGAAAAGTGTCGCAGTTAACATACAAGCTTATTACAAGCTTTGAAGAACAAGCTCTCTACTAACGCCGACACATGCTCAAAGAACAACGTACCGAAACATGCGACCGGTTGCGCAATGCGTAACGGCACGTAGTCCCGGAAACGGTCCGCCATTCCCCCCGATGGCTGGTCACCCTAAAAGGCGCCTTCTCTTATCCGATGCCGCCATCTATCCCCTTTCTCTCTCTCTCTCTCTCTCTCTCTCTCTCTCTCTCTCTCTCTCTCTCTCTCGCTCTCTCTATCTTTTTTTTCTTCTTTTCCCTCCCCCGGTTCGACGCGGTTTTCCGGTTGCCAACCAGCCGACCACCGCCACCTTCCGGGTTCTTCTTATTATTTTGGTGGACGGCTAGGGGGCTGATTTTTGACGCTGTATTGATGCGGTACAAACTGCTGACAAACATTTTTGAACATCAAATTTTGGTCAAAAGCCCCTGCGAGGCTCCACAGTACCCTCCTAAAAAGTGCCCCGTTTAGCGTTCCGAACATGTTGGTCTGTTGACATTGTGGACGAAAGGGGGGAGGCGCCCTCCGTCGACAAGTACAACCATTTTCCCCAAACGTTCCTCTCCACGTTCCCTATAGTGTCATTTTGCAGCGGTCCCCAGTTTGTTTGCGCGTCTCAGCGGCTAAGACATTTTGTTCACCTGTAGCCGCGTTGAACCCCCCCTCCCGCAGCCGCGTTTTAATAAGGGGCCATAAATTGAGGAATGAAAGGTGTTGGACAGAGAAGAGCGCAGTTAACGTTTTGTGTTGTGCTTTTACGGCGATTCTAGTTAGCACGTGGTTTTCCCTTCAGTACATTTTTATCCTGATGCGGAAGCCAATTTTGTCACCTACCTGTTGATGCTAATATATAGTGTATTTTTCTAGTGTTTTTAGTAGTTTTTGATCGATCGAAAGTTACAACAATATCCAAAAAAACTTTTTGGTCTTTTTGGTCGTTTTCCTAAATTTTTGGATTAATTTTTTGTATAGTTTTTTAGCTACAAACATTGTAAAATGCTAAAAATGTTTTTATTTTGTTATAGGGTCGTGCGACGTTATTGCGGAGAAATTGACGGCCAGCTAAAACCACTTCCCCCCCCCGCTAACAGTCCAGCACCGTGGCTTCTAACGGGTACCCTTGCTTTCTGTAAGAGGACAAGAAGCCTATTATTGACATGTTTTGGCCAAAACGGCGCGTTTTTGTATTTTTGGCACCTACAAATGGGCAAAACGACCCTGTTCTCGTACGTATGTATGTAGATAGGTGTTGATGGGAATGAATGGAGTATGGAATGGAGTATGGAATAGGTCAAGGGAGGGGGAAGGGGGGTCTAGATGGAGATGGGGCGGATGAAAGGTCGAGAGTCAGGGCTATGTGCAAGGAAAAGGAGCGATTGTTTGCCTATGGACTCTCCCCATCCACTGGCCTCGCCACAGGACGTGTATGTACCCTTCTTTTCCCCCTTTCCACCACAATCCTAACCAAAACCCATCGGTACTAGTCTGTTAGCAGGGGGAAAGGGTTTCTAACGGGGAACCCGATTTTTCGCAGTATTTTTCGCAGATTTTGTTATTGGGGACCGTACGCGCCGTACGGTCCCCAATAATGAAATCTAACCCATTTTAAAGTCTTTGAACTGTTTCTTGATAGGGAAAGCGCATAAAAAGTATGGAAAATTTCGAATTTTTGGTCAAATATGTATGAAAAACATTTTTTAAAGTAGTTTTGTTAATTTCCTATCAATCAAAAATTACTATAAAAATACACTTTAGATTAGTAACTTGTAAGTATAGTTATACGAGAAAGACTAACCTATCCCCACCCCGCTAACAGTCCAGTACCTCCCGACGCCCAAAACCAACATTCATTTTGACCTGTGGGGCGTCGAAATTGCTGCTGCTTCTGCTCTGGCGATGCTCCCCCCGTTTTCGATCCTTATACCGACCTCTAATTGACCTGTCATAATCCCGACGGGTCAGCGCTGCTATCCATAATGGCGCCAGAGTACCGCCGAACCACCCCCCCCTCCCCGCTATACCACCATAGCCCCCAAAATTTAATTTGTTCGCACCGCCGGGGCGCGCGGAAGGGCTCTCGCGCTCAGACGTGTACGAACCTTTGCAAAGGACAGACTACGCTGAAAGCCGGTTCCAGACGGCCGTCCAGGAAGTTGATCCACAGCCCCGATTACCCATTTTCTGCCCCCCGCTCAACCCTTTCCACCGGGTCGCCCAGGCGGACATTTTGCACTCGCCGCGGTACTGGACTGTTAGCGGGGGACTAATTTTTTTCGATAATATCTCGCACGGCCCTATGACAAAACGTGAACCATTAGTAGTTTTTTAAAAGTTCCGAAAATTAAAAACGATTTATTTCTCGATGCTGATTTTTTTTTGCGTCTTACAAGACATTTAATTCATGGACTTTGCTGTTTGTTAGGACATTTAATTCTTGGACTTTGCTGACTTTGTTTTATGGTAGTACTATCCTGTATCAGTGTAATGCCGCGTAGTACCACCGGTCAGAAAAATGGCTGTAGGAAACTAGAAAACAGCGCGACCACCATGGCTGATCTAGTTTACTAGGTGACCATATATGGCGGCTTTTCCGCTTCATTCAGACTTTGAAAATCAATGGTCTAGTTGGAAAGGGGGAGGCGGTCTGTGTCCCCGGCCGATCGGTGATAAATCTGTCTCGCTCTCCCTCGCACTCTGTCCCTCTCTCTCACTCCCTGTCACTGCCTCCCTTTCCTCCCGATACCGCAACGCTGCATGTAACATACCGCTCTCTTATTGCCCCCATTCTCTCGGCCCTTTTTCCCCTGCATGGTGCTCTTTTACGGTCCGCATTCCGACAAGTTCGCCTGCTCTTTTCATTTTCTCAAACTTAAGCATTTTCTTAAACCCATTCATATTGACTTTTTGCTTCCTCACAAAACGCCCATGCCTTTTCAGTGATGAACATGAACGTGGGCGGCCCGGGCCACCCATTGACTCTTCTTGGTGCCCAGTTCCGAGCCCCACCTCCGCTTCCGCTTCTCGGCCAGCCGGCAAGCTCTTCATTTTGTGTCCCGGCTACCGTATCCACGGGTTTGCCGTTGGCCCCTCCTGCTCCCCTTGTCCTCTCTTCCCTCCAGCCGCTTCATCCACTACCCGTCTCTCTAAATGAGACGGCTCCTTCGAGGCTCCATCAGCCGGGCGTATCCACGGAAGCGCCTGTTTTACAAGTCAGTTAAATCTAAAAATGCGCTTTGTTTTTTGTACGTTAAAGATTTGATTCCATAGCCATGAAAAAAACAGAAAATCCTTCAGCTCAGAACAACACAGAAATAAATATATTTTTCCCCAGTTCGTCTTGGCAGCAGTTACTTTGCAGGCAATCTCGGGTCCTTTGCTAGCAGCCAAAGTGACGCCATCTGTTTCCGTGTCGTCATCAACGTCTTCTTCGACCACCACCGTTCCATCGACCCCTTCGCAATCCGCGGAAGGCCAACCCCTGGATGGTGCCGATGTAAAATGCCTTGTCTGTGGTGATTCGAATGCCCAGAACCACTATGGCACCGTTTGTTGCCCGTTAGTTTTTATAAGCACTTTCTACCCTTCTACTACTAACGTTTATCCTTATCGTTTTTAGGAGTTGCAAAGGCTTTTTCCGGCGCTCCTTCCTGGCATCCAAGAACCTGGAGTGCTATCGGGGCAACTGCTGCGTGATTACGAAAGGTAAACAAACCCTTGCCCGAAAATAATTATTTATATTTTAGGCACGCGCAACAATTGCCGTGCGTGCCGATACAAGAAATGTCTGAATGCTGGCATGAACCCTAACGGTAAATCAAAACGCCTTGCCAGCAATGTCCCAATTTAGAAATCAGGCATAAACAGGATGGGAGCGATGAAAGGAGCAGCTCTCCCATGGAAATCAAAGTTTTTGGCGAACAGAGCGATTCTTCTTCCCAGCCAGCAAATATTGTTGCACTGCCGCAAGTGGTAAAGGGAATTATTCTTTCTGATATTCGTCTCAATTTAGATCGGCGTCCCTTCTGTTGACCCTCTATTCATGAATGCCGAAGAAGCGAAAATTCTTGCCAGTTTTTACGTGAATCTTGAACGGTTAGGAGCGTTTGTGGTATTTAAATCTTACCTTTTGCAGCTACTGCGACAACTCGGTTTTTAATGGGAATGAGATTTGTTTGCAAGAAGAAGAATTTCTCATCAACCAGATGTTGGACGCCTCTGTCGAGGACCTGTTGATGAAACGCCGACCGCAATGCCCACGATTTCCCGTAAGTCAAGACCATAGACCATTTAGATACGATAATAAATGATTGATTATCAACAAGGTAACAAGAAAATTGTTTCTTACAGATAATCTGGAAACCGCATCAGATGGTCAGCGGCAAAACGTTCAAGCGAATTTACGCAAGGCTCGTGGTCTTTTTCTGCGACTGGGTCAACCATATACCTCTCTTCAAGAGTCTCTGCGTTTCCGACAAGGTGAGTTAGTAGTTAGTAGTTAGGTTAGCTTGCGACTGGGCCCGCAAGACTTCCGAACGAGTAACGTTTTCAGGTACAACTGTTCATCGCGCGACTCACCCAGGTGCTGCTATTGAACATGTGCTATCGTACCTACAAGGAAGGCTGTGGCGGTCTTCTGCTCGGCACTGGCTCCGTATTCCCATTTGACAAGGCCCTACGCAGCCAGATTGAGGATGATCAGTGAGTACAGATCTTATACTTTTACTAGTAGATCTCCACCCCCTAAAAACCCCCATTTTAGAATCCGGAACATGCTATCTCAGGTTGTGGATTCCGTATTTGCTGACGTCATATTCCCGATGAAAGACCTCGATATTAATGAGGACGAATATTGTATGCTCAAGGCGACACTTTTCTTATTTGAAGGTAGGCGCCAACCGAATTTCACGCTTCTACCTGGCCTGGAAGGAATCTAGCTTCAACCCGATATTTTCAGGCTTTCCCTTTAATCAGTTGACCGATCATGGGAAAGAAGTGCTGGTGAGGGAGAAGCAGCGACATAAGGTGAGCCAATAATCCAAAAACCAAGACAAATCAATCTCAGGCTGCCCTCGTCGCGCTAATTCTTCAGAAGAAGGAAGCTAACCCGGCCATTGATCACTTGTTTAAGCTAATCCAGGTCGAGCATCTCACCACCACAATTGAGGTCAGTCTGGAATAGTTTGCGAGTTTTTACAACCAAAGGGATTTCAAGAAACAGTCGCCCCTCTTTCAGGCCGTCTCCAACTATATCGACAAAGAATTTGGGTTGATGAACCTGTTTTCTTTATCGGGGATGCGCGGCAACCTTGTCCACGAGTGCCATGTCATGAAATATGCATTTTGTTGATCTAACCCAATGTATCACGCAAATGATAACATTTATTTCGTCTAAAAGAGACGGAACCATCTAGCTTGGGTCCCAAACAATTCTTGATTTGTATGTGCACAGCCGATCCATGATCTCTTCTCACCTCGCGTATTAGATAACATATTTTTTTGCTTGTGTGGAATATGGCTGGTTGTGTTTTATTTCAAATGCCATAACCAACTCACCGGCCCTATTCGCCCTCTCCATTCTAGGTATTTTCACCTTGACCAAGTATCCATCACCCTCCTTCAAGCATTCGAATTCCTAGTTCTCTGTGATTCGACCAAACCATATATCCACCGTTTATTGTGATAAGCAGTTGTGACGACCCGCAATGATAAAAACTAACAGAACGAAGCTCCGGATTCAATCATCGCCAAGTGGGGTAAACTTTTCAGGGTTTTCGTGCTGCGGTCCGTTGCTGGATTTCGGCTCGTTGACAACGGACTTCTTGTTTCGACCCCATGTTGCGCTGAAGAAATGGAAGATCTACGGATGCACAAAACTTACTGTCGGGACAACCAGTTTCGGAGACGTCCACATTGGTCGTTTAAACTTTTGCGCTTAGCGCTTCCGGGGGCATTCTGGAAGGGTTGTGAGTCAACTGATGCTCTATTATCCTACCTCTTTATCCGAAAATCCGGAATCTGTGGAGTTGCCAGCAGTGCCAAAGCCCGTTTCAATGCCGTCAAATGCCTTTTGGTCTTTCATTTCCGCATCATATTCGGATATCACGGCATCAATTGTTTCGCCAATCGGCCCTTCGCGCGACTCACCCTAAAAAGTATTTTCCCCTCGAGTCGCGATATCCTTATGGTGTTAAATTGGTCCTTTAACATATTTTCGACAACTCGTTAAATATACTTACCCCCAATGCGCTTTCAATAAGCTGATCAATCACGGTATTGTTCATTTCGGGTTGCCTAAAAAAATAGAATATAAACGGGGAATTCTGGTAATGCGTAAGGGCTGATTGGCAAGCAAAAAAATGAGAAATGCGGGGCACTGACACGCATCTTGATCAAGGGGCGAGATTTTGGCGCCAAGGGCTCGCCATCTGTCCCAACACAGTGAGACTTTGGTGCATAGAGCCATGTCGTGTTGAAGATACATTTTATCAAAGTACAGCCAAAAGTGATAACGTTATGCCAAAATCAAGATTCACACAACGTTTAGGGTTAAAGCAACGTCACGCCTTAGAAAATTACCGTAATTAATATGGGTCGGCACCGGGCCACAGTTAGAGGTAATCAATGGAAAAAGCAGATCAAGGGAGACTTTTCAAATCATAGATAGCTTCTTTCTCCGACGATTTTGTTCCTCGCATTGGACGCGTAGTATCGATGCGAATTCAGTTCTGAACATAGATGCATATACAGACAAAGAATATAAAAACCTTCCCAACATTTCATAAGCCTTTCCCAAGATGACTGATGCAGCCTTGTCTAGCCGTGGAGCGTTGCAAAGGAATAGATCGTGCCCGAATTCTAGCCCCATGCCAAAGTCCATCTCATCGTCCGCCATCTGAAAACAGAACTATGGAAACGCTGTTCGAAACCCACTTGGATATATGCTCCATATTGTCGTACGAAATCCATAAGTCTCTCCTGGTCGTCTTCATCCTTTTCATTAGCTATGGCCAGCAATTGCTTCTTTACCTTTGCTTAAAACGGAATTTGTGTTAATAAGAGACAATATATACGGATTGAATCGGTCAAAGGTCTATAGCCGACATTATCTCGCATCGGTACGGACAGACGCGGACCATCTGAGCCATGGATAGGGCTTCCGATCTAAACGAACGGTTAATCTAGGCCCATAAGGATTTACACTTTTCTTCCTTCGAGCCGCTCGAACCTTCACCATCTGCTTATTCAGGCCTTCAACCGTAAACCCCGCTGGCAGGTCCGCACTCCTGAACCAGCATGTCTGATTTCTTGAACGGACCCACTTCGCCCCGAGGTGGACAAGCATGTTCATTGGATGATCTCCGATAACGGTAAGTGCCGGAAAGTGATCAGTTCCATCGCCTGCCACTGCCAAGATCAAACACTCGGTCGAATTAGGTTCATCTCTGCAAATTATCGAAATTCATAATTAACGTATATGTAAAACCTCCAAAGACAGAAGCGACCTTTGTCATACACGGCACACGTCTGCATTTCGGGAAGATCATTCGGAAATCGCCAATGCAGTCTCAACTGATCATCTGAAAAAGTTTGAAATTACCTCCGATAAGCCGATACCTGATAGCTCTCTCAGATCGCCATTCAATAACTCGAAGGGTCCGACTAGACGAAGTTTGGAGAAACGCTTGAATGCTTCTATAACGAGGTGGATTGCCTAGGGACATGCTTTACCCAGAGGCGCTGAGATATTCTGTTTCTGCGCAAATTCGAAGAAATCTTGCAAGGCGCTGGGTGCCGTATGAAGTCCGGAACGCCTCTTCGGCGGTGGCTAATAAAAGCAATTTCAGATAAAATAATAAATTAACCGTTTGGATGGAATTGTTCTCTTTCGTGTCGGAGGCGGGTCGTTTACGGGAGTTACCGAAGCCGTATGCCATCAATCCCTAGTAAAATCCTGTTACAGCCGAAAATCTATACTTTTTTAGAGGTGGACGGCTCCGGAGCGCCCTTCGCTGTGTTTTTAGTATGAAATTCAGCTATGTGCTCCGCATTCTTCCTGTAGCACTTGCTCCCGAATTCACAAGTTTTCGGCATCTAAAGTCTGCATGAAAAGCCGTGCTGCTCCAAATAGCGAGGCCGTTACGAGGCTTCCTCAAAAACTGGCAGCGAGAACCGTGTACTTTATCAAACAGGAACAAAAAACAATCACAAGCAGTTAAAATCCTAACTAGTCTAGTAATATCCTTCTTTATGCTTTGGCATTTTGAATGGCATCAATATCTTTCGGCTTAGGGTCGAAGGGCGATGGTAGTTTCAAGTTGGTCTTTGCCTAAAAGCAATGAGCTAACCGGTGGAAAAATTGATACCTCGAAGAAGGTATAGGACAGCATAATGTTGTCCAGGTATTCGAGATTCGGATCATTTGCGTAGTCCGGATCAATGTAGAAGAAAACAGGCAGATCAACCTAAAATCGATTAACCGAGCAAATTCGTTAGCGGACCTGTTCCCCGGGGTTCAAAATCTGTTCCTCAAAGCAGAAACACTGGATTTTGTTGAAGTAATAAGCGGCCTAAAGGTTCTTATAATCAAAGTCTAAAATACCTGAAAAGGAACCAAATTATAGCTAGAAATTCCGATAATTGGCTTGTCGGTCGGGTTGCGAGCAGAAAAGAAGGCCAGTGCTGTTTCCCCAGGATGCACGTAGATCTAAACCATTTTATTGCCATAATTCCGATCTCACCTCGTCTTGGACCGGCCTGAATTCCCAACGCATGCTGCTCGGGACGTCAGAGTTGAATTGAACGCGAATCAATCGATCTTCCACTTTCTGCATCGTGGCGATTTTCTCAAAATCCTTCGCTATCTAAAAACACTGTCAATCAAACATAAAAAGACCCGCCTGTGTTAACCCTGCAAAGCCAGTTTGTTCACAAAACATCCGATATAGTGGAATGGCGGCAAAAGTAGCCCCGATAGCAATCACTAAAACGGCAATACCTACCTAAAGAAAACCTGAATCTGATACCTCCCAGGGACATTCCATAGTAAAGCACATCTCGTGATCCTTTTGAAGGATCTTCTCTCTGAATCGTGCTTTATATAAATAGTGAGAATCCAGTACCTTGTGTATTAATCGGAACTGCTCCTTATGATGCCTGGCTTGCGGTCGTAACTTTGTAAGCGTCAATATTTTTGATGTTGAAGGATTGCTGAATCCAGAGCATAGCCGAGACAACATCTAAACCCAAAAGTGACTACACGTACCTACATAGGATAGTTTACGATACTTACTCGGCGCGAACCGAACAAAAAACGTCAGCATATTTCAAGAAACTTTATGAAACAACTTCCTAGCGATCAACAAAGCAGAGATATCACAGTCACAAGAGACCAGCTTAGTCAAATCATCATGGAGCAACCAACGAGCGTAACCGGATTTTCGATAGTTTCCGTATATGCTGACAACAGCAATCGATGAAATCAGTGCCTTCTATGGCTCTGTAGGTTTGCTGGAGCCCTGTTCAGCCTCTTCTTTGGCTTTGCGCAGTCGGCCCGGTCGGTAGATTTCGCGCTCCACTCGTGGTTTTCTCTCGGGCTTCTTTTCTACCGGTGCCTTGACAGGTGCTTCCCTAAAATTAGCTCAGGATTGAGGGTCACTCATAGCACTATCCAATAATAAAAATGAAAACGAAAAACAAACCTTTCAGGCAGCCGCGGGCGCTGTACTTCCTTTTCCGCCTCCTCAGGTTTTGATTTCGGCTCCGGCACGCGATCAGGATGACCCGTCGTTGGCTTGGCACTGGTGGAAGGCTTAGAAGTGTTAGGAGTCTTATAGGGTGGCTTCTCAGCGCGGGGTTTCTAAAACCGAGCGTTACCAACGTGATAAGTTATTACCTCGGTGGTCGTCTGTTTCGGTTTCGGCGCTTCCTTCGGGACCTTAGGTTTAAACTTGTCCTTTACAGGCTTGGGAGCAGATGCTTTAGGTCCGCTCTTGACAAACTCGAGCAGTTCTTTTCCCTTGGCTTTGCCTATAGGCGCCTTGTCTTCCGGGGTAGCGTCAAAATCCTGAATTGAATGGAATAGTAACGATTCATGTGCGCAAATCCCACAATTGTCACATTCTCCCGACGAGCTTTACGGTCAGCCGCTACTCGTTTCCTCCGGAGCTCTTCCTTTTTGAACTTTTGTAAGTGCTGGTCCAGCATATATTTGGTCAGGGGTGTCATCTCATTCGTAGTCCGCCTTGCATTCCGCTCTTCAATAAGTTTCAATTGTTGATCAACCTACAACGATCGAAATAAAGTTAAAGTGCATATACCGTCAATTGAGGCGATATTTCTTCCAGCTTCGCCACAAAAATTTTATATTCTTTGGAGTCAATGACTTTGCCTAGCTCTGGGTCTTTTGCTACCTAAAAGCCAATCGCGGAAGCCAATAAAAAACATACGTCTCCGACCGAGCTCTTCGGAATAACATTATTCGACGCTAATTCCACGACCGCACTTGCCGAGCTCCCTTCAAAGTCGACGAAAACAAACCTAAACCATAATACAAACCAGGAAATAAACAATACCCGTTGAATCGATCCGCAAAACTCAGTGCGTCCTCCTCCTTCGCAAACGCGACGACAAAGAAAGGTCGTGTACGATAATCAAGAAATGGGTTCGGCGTACTAAAATATGTTGTTTCCTTCAACAGAAGTGCATACCTAAAATAGCTGTAAAGCGGTTCTTCCGAATATTCGCCAAGTTGTTCCTTCAATGCTGCTTCATCAATTTTATATGGGAGGCCTCGCAATACGAGCTAATAATGATTTGTTAGGACAATCGAAGGATTCACCTTAATTCCGGAGACTGCCGTCTCCTTTGACATCCTAAAAAAATGTGGCCGTTTATACAATTTTAGAGGTAATCCGCTAAAACGTTCGTCAGGATTCGGATCAAATTTTTCGAGACTTTATTTGATTTCGACTGTTGTCTTTTTAATCTTTCGTTTCTCAATCGGCGCGTTGGGATTTTCCAAATCGTAAAATTTCTTCAAGAGCTCAATCGAACGTTCGGGTGCAACCAGACGTTTAATCTAAAAAAATTTAGAAAGTAAAGGTAAGTCACCACCTCGATCTCATGCTGACTCTGGTACTTCCGCCTCCCGCCCACGCTGTCGACGCCACCGAATCGCTGATTAGCCGCCCCGTATACAATCCTCTAGAAATCAAGGTTTGCAACTGAATAAGCCAAACCTTTATTTTCAATTCGTACATAGCCGCCGCACACATAATACAGGGCTCCAACGTAACAAAGAGTTCCATTTCTTCAGCCATCTAAGCTAAAGTACACCATGGTCTTCGCAAGTTAATTTACAGCTTTGAAGTCGGGCCTATTTCGTAACCTCCGTATTGCCACCATTTCTGCATGAGCGGTCGGATCGCCGGTAAGATTGACTTCATTTCGCCCCCTTGCAACCTAATCGTGACGTCAAAATGCCATCTACTAACTTCCTGTCCATTGATTACGAATACGCAGCCGACGGGCACTTCATCGTTGACCAAAGCTTCTTCTGCCAAGCGGAATGCCTCATCCATGAAGTATGTCTCTTTTTCATCGCAATTCAGCATTGCCATTACTAAGAACCATTTGTTCACGACACTATTTTATACAGTTGTTCAATATAACCTTGCTCCAAACTCCAAAGTGGGCCAAACGAAGAGCAAAAAAACTTTATCGAAGCCATCATAATCATCATCATCATCATCAACATAAAACAACATTCAAGCACTTAGGCGTACATATTTTGATCCATAGAGCCAGCGACAATGGAGTGGTCGATAATCTTCCTGATGGCCGACGAAAATTCGTGAAGAATCCCCAACTCCAGCTCTTCCTCCGTTTCAACGAGGTTCTCCTAAACAGGGATAGTGGCAAAACCTCAATACTAACCAGCTCATCAGATTGTGCAATTAGACAGGTGCTCGTGGCTTCAATAACTTCATCCCGCAAATAGAACCACGGCCTCGTCTTTGGGTCTTTTTTCTCTTCTAAATATGAGAATTCAAAAAGAGCGGTCGGTAAATACCTGTATCAGAGTCATCGTCCGAAGGCTGTGCGGGTTGATCAAGCCCTAATGCAGGCCCTGACGTGAGCAACGAGGAATTTGCTCTGCCAGATTCTCTCGGGGTTTGCTATAGAAAAATATATGAAGCGAAAGGAAACATACCAGATGCGTTTTTGCCATTCTGTCAGTCTCTGTATTTCGACAGCACACACATTTGCACCGATCAGTACAAGGTACTTTCGCCTAAATTCGAATGAACAAAATTGTCTGTGACTGTACCTCATAGCATTCGCAATAGTTTTTAGACAGCCGGATTTCTTGCAGTGACATCCTTTCTGATGTAACCGCTCGGCGTCAGACTTCCCTCTCACGGCTTAAAAAAAGGCTAATTTGTGGCGAATGGCCCTACCGATTTTGGGTTGAAACGCGTGTGGATTCTTTTCCAACGACTGTTTGATCGCACGAGAACGTTCAGCTTCATAGTTGATATTATTGTGACAGTCCTTGCAGTTGCAATCGCGGCAAAATTCGCCGTTCGCAAAGCACTCGCAGTAGAGCTTTAGGCACATCGACTTCGAACAATTGCACGGTTTCCTCATCCCATTTCCTGCTTTCCTACAGAATCGGTGTTACCACAAAAGGGAATTTACTTTTTTGATTGGCGACGCGGGACAGTCAGACTTTGAGCATAGGCGGCGCGATGGACTTCACCATATCCAGGATTGGCACCAGCAGACCCGGACGGGGTCTTAACGGAATCTTAAACACCATAGGTTGCACGTACCTGATAACCTAGTTGATAATCTCCATCAGGGTAGCTTTTGGAAGAGACAGGCAAAGCTAATCTTCCATATGCGTACTTCGTCGGGTTGTCGTAATTCAGGGGCTGGCTTGAAACGGACACTTCTTCCATATACATGTCTCCATCTTGCAGGATTGGGTAATTCTGAGAACCAATTATTTGCTAGCAGAAGAACATACCTGGCCATTAGAATCCATTTCCAAAGTTTCGCCTGTAGAAAACTGTCGTTATGTCCGGGGCGGCTGGCAAGACAAAGATCTAAATCGGGATAATTACTTTATCTAGAACATCTACGGTAAGTAAAACATCTAGAACATTTTTAATATTAATATCTTCTTGTTAGCCTGTCGTTTGACGCGCCTGCTTTGTCTAAGGGAATTTGTAGTTTGTGGCTTGCCTTTCGAATTTCCCGCCCATTACACCGTAGTAAAAGGTCCCACAGCGCAGCCCCCCAGGAACGAAAATAGAGGCAACCAGTCTCATTTTCCTGTCATCCGCCTTCCCTGGTTGGTAGTCAGTTTCCGTCATGCCGCCCAAGTTCGACCCCAATGAGATCAAGATCGGTTAGAATTTGGTAGTTTAACACCTAATAACCTCTTCTTTAGTCTACCTCCGTTGCGTTGGAGGCGAAGTTGGCGCCACCTCAGCCCTCGCCCCGAAGGTCGGACCTCTCGGTCTGGTTAGTTATTTCATTACTTGCAAGAGCCTTTTTTTCTTTAGTCCCCGAAAAAGGTCGGAGACGATATCGCCAAGGCCACACAGACTGAAGGGCCTGAAGGTCACCTGCAAGCTCACCATCCAGAACAGGCAAGCCAAGATCGACGTCGTTCCATCGGCCGCGTCACTGATCATCAGGGAGCTTAAAGAGCCAGCTCGTGATCGCAAGAAGGTCAAGAATGGTACGAGTTTGGTGTATGATGAGGGTCGGGTTGCTACGATTGGCTCCCATCCCCAGTCTTTTTGTAATTCTTGACTGGTAACTTATGAATCGCTGGTAAGGAGGATTTTTGACGATTTTGTTAAGCCAGTTCTGATCGCGAATGTCGCTTATTGTTTTGTGCCTTCGGAATCTAGAACCGGAGTACGCGCCAATAAGTTTCGTTCGATGTCCGCGCTGTAGTAACATTTTTTCTGCTACTATCTCTTGATTGAGATTCCTATTCTCGTTTT